CCCAGAGACTGGGAACACGGAAAGGCCAGCCTGTCCCAGCCCCCACCCTTACAACTAGCACCTGCTCTGTGCCCAGCACAGCCCTCCTCCCAGTTCAGCCTGGCAGAACTGGCCTACATGGTGAGCCCAGCCTTCCCCGCCTGTGCCCAGCCAGGCCCCTGGGACTCACTCACAGGTGGTGTTACCCTGCATGCTGACCACACACTTGGCATCCCGGCTGGTCTCACGGGCATTGAAGGGCCGAACCCTCACTGCCACTTTCACTGAGGCACCAGCCATGGCTCCAGACACTCCCAACCTCCTCAGCTGGAGGACAGAGAAAGAAGGGGTGGTCAGAGCCACTGTGGGGACCCAGACATTGCCTCACAGCTTCTCCCTGGAACCAGTCTCTCCACTCTCCCACCCCAGCTGCGCAGCCCCTCAAGGACGCAGTTCCTGCTCCCCTGGCCTTCCTCCCAACTGGCACTGTCTTGGGGACTCCCAAAGGCATTTCTGTCTCTCTCCAAGGCATATCCCAGGTTGCAAGGACCTGGGCTGTCACCCCAGAGTTACCTGGCGTCCTGGCCCCAGACCAGGGAGGCTGTATCAGTTCTGGCTGCCACCAGCCCTTGTAGGGGGAGCCCCATCCTACTCTTGGGGCCTGGCCACGCCAGCTGGGGCTGTGGGGGAAACGCTGGTTGTGGGGAAAGAATGGTTAGGAGGCACCTGTGGTTCCAGAGGTCTGTCTGGGGTTCCTAGCTAGGCAGGCTGGGGCAGAATGTTAGGAAAAGTCAGAATAGCTGCCCCTCTGGAGTGGCCGAATGCAATGTGAATCCAAGGGCAGGGACGGTGATATTTTTATTCCTCGTCACTCACATGTGTACTGAACATTCAGATAGAGGAGTGAGAGAGGGCAATTCCGAAAGATGGACACATGGGCAGAAACACTGAAGGTGGTGGGAAGGGGGAGAGGATGGGCAGAAAGTCAGAGACACAGAAAATGAGAGAAATAAGACAAAAGGCAAAACTGAGGTCACATTATGAAGGAAAGAATAAAAGAAGGAAAGGAATGAAGACACAGGAGTTATCAAACACAGAGATGTTAACCAGGTAAGGAGGGGAGCTCCGGGGCCAAAGCACAAACTGGGAGCCCAAAAGAGAGATGGGAGGAGAGAAGACCCCAAACACAAAATCTGCCCTAAAATTCCCCCAGAGAGTTAGCAAGGGAAAAGAAGAAACCAGTTCCCCCCTAGGGACCACAACCTCCACACATAAGGTAAGGACTGCTGATGGGCAAGGGCTCGATGTACAGCCTAGGCCAGGGATCCATAGGGCTTGCTTCCTGGGCTTCAAACCCCTTGCCCCAGCCCCCAGCACTTCCTCCTTAGGATCCAGGACAATGGGCAGGGGAGGGTGGGGTCATCCTGTATCCATCATACCAACCCCCAGGGCTCTACCCTTGGGGTCCCAGAATACCTGTGTTTTTGGATTCGTTGAGGGGGTACTAGGGGACTCCTTGAAAGGGGAAAGAAAGGAAAGGAGGCAGACTGGTCCCAACCCCAGCCTAGGGCTAGTGCCATGGCGTCCACTGCCCTGGGGAAGGTGCCAGGCTGTAGCCCAGGAATGTGGGTGATCAGGTGCCCACACCCTAGGAGGAGAGGCTGAACGGCCCACGCCCACGGACAGCAGGGTGGAGGACTATGGAAAGGGATAAGGGATGCTGGGCCCCCTCCTGTGGCCCCAAAGGACACCAAACCCCTGTCGTGCTGAGCCTCACCTCACCAGCCTTTCTGGGCAGAGCATGGGAGGGGTGAGGGGGGCTGGTCTGTCCCAGGACAGGAAGGGAGTAACTGAAATCACAGAGGCTGGCTCAGGAAGAACAGTCCTGACCCTCCAGACCCTGATCAGGGGAGGGAAGGACACTGGTGGAGACACGCAATAGTGACATCGTTGCGGCTAATGGGACAGGGAATGGTGGACATGGCTGGGAGATAGTGGAGTAAGGGAATGGGGGATAGGTACTGGATCAGGCGGTGCAGCTGACAAGGAACAGTGGGGTACAGAGAGAAGCCTGCGGCTGGAGAGGGGCCGACCGACCCGAAAGGGGGCCTCGGGCCACCTTCACGTTGCCCACCGGGCAGTTCTCAAACAGGCCTCCGCCTGGCTTCTCTGGGCCGCCATGAGGACCCCGTCCTCCTGTCCAGCCAACCGACGGCCGCCCCGGGCCTGGCACCTCTCTGCGCCTCCGCGGGACAAACAGCACATGATCCCGGCTCTCGCGCCTAGCCGGCCTCCGCCCGGTCGTGCAATACGGGACCCCGGCTCCCCGCCCCCCAGTCCGGCACATTCCTCCGCGGGCGTCCCCACCC